GTCGTTAAGAACAAAACAAAAACCCGCCCCCCCTCCTCCATGCACACACTTCTGTTGCCACTGGCTGCCCTGACAGCACTAAAACTGCATGGAGATCATTCCAGAAGTAAACTGAAATCCAGCAAGCTGGACCATCCTGCCCTCCGAATTCCATCATTCTCCTTCATCCAGGGGTCTCTGAGTGCCTTGGGTTGATGTGGGTTTTGTAGAACATGTAGAAGGCAGCTTTTGTTGAAAACATCTTCAGATCTTATAGCCCATTTGGTGTGAAAGTCCAAGGAGAATTTGGAGGGGAAAACTGTTCTTGTACTCCAGCCTTCACCAAATCACACTGAGATTTTGTTTGTGTTTAGAAAAATCAGGATATATTTATTTTATAATCCAAAAGATGGTTTGTCAGCACAGTGACACAACCCACAGTGCTGGCTGATGAAAATAAAATGTTTGGCTGGCAGGAAATGGTCTTGGCCATGCAGCAGCTGGTCCTTAAGAATGTCAGCAGGATCCTGAACTTGTTTGACCTTGATTAAACTTATGGTCCCTTGGATTTGACAGCAGAAAACAAGAAAGCTTCAGGCTAGAAGTGCTTACAGTATGTTTTACTGACCATCAGTGTGAACTCTGTTCCATCGTTGTTTCTTTTTGTGAATAGTAAACCTTTTGACAAATACAGGGCTTCTGGAAAGGAGAGGAAATCCTGACAAAACAGTGCCTCTGCTAGAGGGGGGAGGGTTGTGGCTTTGCAGATAAAATGCTGTTCAAATGGGAACATTAAAATTACTTGGCAAGTTTAACAGAACTAACACAAATAGTGCCTTTAGGAAGGAAAGCTTCCTTTACTCCATGTTGTGGACAGAGGAGCGTTTTCTGGCTTGTCTGTAGACATGGAGCATGGCTGCACTGAAAACCTCTCTCAATCTAGCTTGAGTGTGAGCGACTTCAAAGGAGGCGGTGGGTTTGCTGATGTCGCAGTTTGAGTTGGCAGCTTAGAGCTACATCAGGGTGGAGATGGGGCTGGAAACATGGGGTGCATCTCTTACTTGTAGGGAACTGGCCGAGAGCACGTATTCATTCTTTGCCTGGTGCATGTCTAACAGCAAGAACAGAACATCAAACCCCAGTTCTTTGCCTTCCGCTGGCTGACGCTGCTCTTGTCCCAAGAGTTCCTGCTGCCAGACGTCATCCGTATCTGGGACTCCCTCTTTGCTGATGATAAGCGCTTTGATTTTCTTCTGCTCGTCTGTTGTGCCATGTTGACGTAAGTACATAGGTACTCTTCCTGCTCTTCTCTTTC